CCGCCCCGCGGGAGAGCACCGTCCCGTCCTGTTGACGTGCAGGGGGCGTGTTGCGTCATACTTCCCAGGGGTCACGGACAGGGCTGGATTTTGTCCCCCGTCCCCAAGCGTCCCTTGGCGGCCCCACGTCCCGAGGACGCCGAGTAAGGCCCCCCCTCGCCAGGCGGGATGGCCTCGATCTGCCTCCCCAGAGCATCCCCTGGGGCTGGGGTCTGGGCCCTTCGCCTGTCCCTGGCTCCAGGGCCGTCCATGAGCTCCTCAAGCAGGCGCTTTCTTAACGGCCTCTGGTTTGCCAGCTTATCTTAAACATCAGCCTGGCTGCGAAGTGGATTCTTTCAGAGTTTTAAGGTTTTGGCTTGATTATTGCTCAGTCGAGAAACAGGGCTGCTTTGTGGCATGGTAGTCACCCTCTCGTACCACTTTTAGGAAGGGGCAGCTCTCAGAATGTCAAGAATCACCTGCACACAGGAATTTTATGAGGATAGATCCTGGTTGGTGTAATGTTTGCGTACGTGACAGTGACTAATTAGAGCAGGCCTGGACATTTTTTTCAGAAATATTACTACCATTTGTTATGTCATAAGAAACTTATTTTTATTGTAAACCCTTTTTAGATTATTTTATTTTTCACATCCACTGTAACTTGCGGTGGACACCTATTCTCTCATCAAAATTTAAAATGCAGACCATTGCTTTCAGGGGCACAGAATATGGTATCTCTTTTAGGGGTTTCCTCAGTTGGTCCCAGCCTTGTTTACTTGTGGCTCTGCTGGGGGAGGGCAGGTGGGAGAACTGCAGAATGAGTCTTGGTAGCTCATTTGTGTGTCACCTGTCCTTGGAGCTCCTTTGAGTTGGAATGGGAACAGGCCTGTGGGTATCCACAGAAAAATAGCAGGCAGGTATGTGGGCAAGAAGGTCCTTGGTGCATAGTCCTACTTCTGATACCAGCGTACATTAGATAGCCTGCCCTACCCTGTGTACCAAGCACCATTAAATTAAAGTAGTTGTGTTCTGCTGTAGCCTGATGGGATCAGCAAGGGCACCATCTAGGCCTTAAGACTTAAATTGTGTCTGAGAATAAATCTAAATTTAAGACAAAGCATGGCCTATTTTATAGTAAGGATTATGTGGTGTGATGGCTGCAGTGGCAGAAGATGACTTGGCTCAGCCGGTCACTTCTCATCCAGTCTTCTGAATGTATTAACTCATGTACTTTGCTTAACGCTCCCTGAATTAATTTGGAATCAAAGATCCTGCCTTTTTCATTTTAAATGCAAGGGAAAGGAGGTGAAATGAAAAGGTGACATTTGTATAGCTAGGAAGAGAGTTTCCTTCTAGGCAAAAAAGATTTAATGAGACACTGGAATTTGTTTGGAAAGTCACTGAGGCCAAAAAAGAGTCCCGGATAGTCCTGTCTGTCCTCTGTAAAACATATGTTAAATGTCAACAGTTTTCCAGAGACACATTAACACGGAGTGAGATGATCTCAGCTGCGGAATTGTGCTTGGGATGGCCAGTGCTTACTTGTTTTAAACAACACCAGCCTGTAAAATGTTAGTCTGTTCTGTCATGAGTTACGTGTTAAACTTGAAATCCTGACTCAGAGTTTCAAAAGTCATAAACTAAGGTGTATTTGAGGGTGGAGGAGGGGAAGAAGTGGAGGAGGAAAGATTACCATGAGCTTGCCTCCTGCAGACTTCTTATCCCTCCCTGTGATCCATGTCGCAGGTGGAAAACTGCTGTTCCTGCCTGACCCCAGGCAGTGAGCCCTGTGCTCCTCCGAACAGGAGTCCCTGGGCCAGTGTTGTACTGTGCAGGCTGACTGGGTTGAATTCTGCTCTGTTTATGATTTGGTGATTGAGTCAAAGTTCCAAGTTTAACATCCCTGTTGTAGTTACAATGGCATCTGTTTTCCTGATGCTTGTAGGTACTTTTTCTGGTGTGAATGATCCGTTCCAGGATTTCAGTTATGAAAATGTTTCTCTCTTGTTCTAAATGCCACTTACATCAATGTAGTGAGTATTTATTTTTATTAAAAATTCTTCCATGCCCACACTGTCCCACCGCTCCTCTGACTGCTTCACTCCCAGAACCACTGACCCCTCTCTGTTACCCTGCCGGGACGCTCGTGCATCGGATCTGCTGTACGGGGGTTCTTGCCGCTGCAGGAGCAGAGAGGCGGCTCTGACCGCCGAGAACAGAAAGGGGTGAAACAGGGACACAGCACAACCAGGTGTCGTAGAGGACAAAATGGATATTGCAGGTACTAAAGCAGTGTGGTAGAACTGACGTCTTATCTTTTTGATATGAGCAAATTGGCTGTTACTAACTACTCAGAAAACAGACTTTTTGAGAAGCAGTTAAGAGAAATGGAAATTGGAAACTGTATCTGCTGCCTCACCTTAACTGCTTTTATAGGAAATGTTGCATTTATAATCTAGAGACGCAACTAGTTACTGATAGTGATGATGTGCAGGAGGCTGCAATCTCAGCACCATGGTAAGAGGCTCCTACTCTTGAGGTAACTTGGGAACAAATTCTTGTATTCTTCATTTCTTGGGTAACTCTTAAGTGAGGAAGGTGGAAGCTGCAGCAGGTGTGTTTTGAAGCATTGTATTTGAGAGGCCAGAGTTGTTTCTTCTATGAATTGGTGACTCTGTAAAGTGTTGCATGGTAAATCTTGCTGGCTGTTCTTGTCTTACTAGAGCCCATCAGAGACAAACCAGTGGTGAGGAGAAGGCTGGAGGCACCTGTGCGGTGCTGGGCGTGTAAGCTGTCCGGAGTGTATTCTGAAAACTGTTTCACTGTGATGGCTCTGGTTTTGGTAAAGGCTCTAATGTGACGGTCTGAGTGGTGTAGTTCAGTGCATTGGCACCTTTTGCTCAGGTGAAGTCCTGGGATCATATCCTTTTCTTTGTTTCAGCCCAAATCAGGTTTCAAGCTCTCAGTTTTCATTCTTATACTCTTTGCTTGTATTCCATCAAGTCTGGAGCAGAAAACAAATTGTAGCTTGCAGTTAAAGTTACATCAGTATTGAAACTAACCTGATTTAAAAATAAATCCCTTATTGCCCTTATTGTAAATTTTAGTCATCATTAATCCTTTAAATGTCAGTAACTTTAAGCGTACACAACTTATTTAGTGGTAATTTTTATCAAGGCTTTGGTATTGTTTTCAGGTATATGTCACAAGGGAAACATGCAGAAGCAAGAGAACTAATGTATTCAGGAGCTTTGCTGTTCTTCAGTCATAACCAGGTAAGTCAGTCACTGGTTTTGTGTATGTGATTTTGGGGGGGAGGTGTTGTTATTCCAAGATTTTGAGGGATGAATGTTGAATTTTCAATGGTAAATGTTTGGGGTAATTGCTTTGTAATCTTTTATTTTATCTCATTGTTGAGCCGTTCTCCACAAAGAAGGATTATGCCAAGCTGGAACAGAAAGCAGAAGTGATTGTGAGCATCCAAACAATAATCGTAACCACATTTGTTTTGCTTTCCTGGAGGCTTCTCTTTTGATGCCGTCAAATTACTATAGTTTTTTTATAAGGGAAGGTTGAGACTTGATACTGTGCCTTAGCTGTAGATGTTGATAAAAGTATAAAATCTGCCTCTGACAAAATTCTGGTTGATGTTTTCTTTTATGTACTGATAGATTCATCACTACCAATATGTGTCTATTTTGTAGCAAAACAGTGCTGCTGATCTGTCCATGCTGGTTTTGGAGTCTTTGGAGAAATCGGATGCAAAAGTAGCAGATGACCTTTTAGGTGAGGTGACCTTTGCCCTTGGTTTGATGGTGTTTAGGTGTGCTTCCACTTCACAGTGACTGTTGTTAACAGTCTTGAAACCTGAAATCCTTTTTGTATGCCCTCCCACATGGCTAAAGCTTACCTTCATCAGAGAAATGGACTGGGGGAAGACTTTATTAGAGAATAATGGATTCCTGATAACTTTGTGGGCATGCTTAGAACACACATTGCTGTCTTGTGGCATTGTCCTTTCCTCGGTGCAGCAGTAATGTGTTGTCTGCACAGTCATTGATGTCCCTGGGGCTTTGGTGGATGGTGGTTTCCCACCCTAGCAGTGTGGTAGTGTGCACATTATTTGTGATTCAGGTGTTCACAAGGAAATTTTTCTTGTTTGACTGTGAGATCTGGTAAGCAGGAAATTCAGGGAGACCTTCTTAAGAGCTGCCTGGCCAGACTATTGCTGCAGCACGGGCGAACCGCCCCTATTAACAACCTATAGATGGAGACAGACAGGCAGAGGCTGTTCTTTGTTTACTTAGATCAGCTCTGTCATTTGGTATACCATCTATGACTTCTGGTGGTGCTTTTCTGAACTACAGCCCTCTGTCCTTCACAGCTTCCCTGTGACTGGCAAGCAGTCCTGTAACCTGCAGTCTTTCCTCCTCCTTGGAACTGCGTGGTCCTGTGGGATATCCTGTCCCCAGCCATGAGACAGGGAAGCTGTCCCCCAGCTGACTGCAAGGCACAGCTTTTGGCTGTGGAGGAGTCATGTGAATATTGCTGGCTGATAGATGCAAGACTGACTTGATGTGTGAGAAGTGGCTCAAGTTCAAAGTCACTGTTTTTTTAAGATGACTTATGGAGGCCGTTCAGGGAGCTTACAGACACAACAGCGCTCTAACTTAAATGTCATATCTTAAAGATGCACTAGAAACAGCAGTTCATCCTGTTTCTATTGCTAAATATTTGTGAATCTTATTGCTTCTAGAAAACTTGGCTAAATTGTTTAGTTTAATGGATCCAAATTCTCCCGAAAGAGTGGCTTTCGTATCCAGAGCACTAAAATGGTCTAGTGGGGGATCAGGAAAACTTGGACATCCAAAACTACACCAGTTACTAGCAATTACTCTGTGGAAAGGTAAGAAAAATCAACTGGCTTTTCTGTGTTTTGTTTTGAAAATGTTGAAAGTATGATATTGTAAGAGACCTACTTTGGAAATAATCTAAGGAAGTTGAGATGGAAATGATTGATTGAGTTCTGCTATTACCTGATTTTTGCAATGACTTCAGCTTAATGTTACTAAAAAAAACCCGACACTGTAACTCTATATTAGTGCAAAACCCAAAACACAACTGCTGTACAGCTCGCTGCAAAAGGAAGGTTGATCCTTTAGACATTGAGGTAGTCTGATTCAGTCATTAGGAGGAAAATTGCTAGGGAGCAAAGCTGTTCTATTGTGGGTTTTTTTGTTTTTAAATCCTGGATAAACATGACAAAGATTGAAATACATCACCTAGCATCCAAAACAGTCGTTGGATCTGTAATTAGGTACTTCTTGAGATGTTGACCAGCAGGCTTATTCCAGAATGAATGCTGTTGCCTGTGAGAACAGTTGGATAAATGCCATCTCTTCTGCGGTTTCTCGTGATTTAATAACTGTGCAAGATGATTGTTTGTTTATTTTAAATTTTTCAGTGACTGCAAAGCGATGATAGTGGTTTCATAAAACAATCCTGACCCAATGGTCAACATTCCAGCTCATTGCCTCTCCGCCTGCCATAGGCAATCCCATAGCTGTTCTCATGGGGCTTGTGTTAGCTTGATGGCTGCTGCCAGCCAGAAAGGGAGGATTTAAGTTAGAAGCTGAGATACGATTAGGATAAGGAACAGTTGCATTCTGAAAGTAAAAATCCCCATTTTGTAGCTGTCTGCTCACTGTTCTCTTGAAAAGCAAAGTGTGTACGTTTTCGTAGTCTGTAGTTTTTGAGAGTTTCAACAGAAAAGGCTCAGGTTTTTAAAATAAAGCTTTTAAATTCCAAAAATTAGCAGCTATCCAGGTTTGACTTGTCATTGCAGTGATTTTGCACGATACTTTGCTTCAAGTTAAGTTCTAACAAATCATTCCCATTTCTTACACCTTTTTTTCTTGTATAATTGCTGTTCTATTCAGCATATGGAAGCAATTTTAATTTTGATAGCAAGAGTGGGCTAAGCTAAAAATAGGAAATGCCTTCTTTCTGTGCACTTAGAAAGAAGGACGCTGAAGGTGCTGTTTGACTTCTTGGTGCACATGGTCTAATATGGAACTTCTTGATTCTTCTCCTAAGCGCTGATGATAGCACACGAAGTGTCAACATGCAGTTAGATAAAATGATATGACCGCAGCTCAAGCTGTTTGTCCCAGTGGTGGCTGTGTTTTGTGGTGGCACTGAATGAACTGTACTTAATAGCAGTTGTTGAAATGTATTTAGGATAACATCTTTATTATCTCCCTTTATAAATTGTCTGTAACTTATGAAGGAAAAAGCCCACTTTCTTTTGCTGGTTGTCTTGTTTATATACCATGTGTGTAGCTCTTGTCCTTTTACCAGCTGTAGTGTACAAGCCTAACAAATTTGTTTTTATGTTCAGGTGTGATGAACTGATTTCTTAAAAGCCATTTTCTTTTTCCTTTTATAGAGCAAAACTATAGTGAATCTCGGTATCACTTCTTGCACTCTACAGATGGCGAAGGATGTGCAAATATGCTAGTAGAATACTCCTCGTCCAGGGGATATCGCAGTGAGGTGGACATGTTTGTAGCACAGGCGGTACTACAGTAGGTGTTAAACTTTTTTTTAACTATGTTGCTGAGATGATACTGTGTTTAAGGCCTATCTAATTTAATCATGATAACTGTAGGTTAACCATGCATCCTTTTCAAAAGAAACTGTGAAACTGGCCAGAGCTGCTGAAACTCATTTGTGTGGTAACAACAGGAGAAAACCATCTCAAAACCAGTGTCTTAAATTGGTCAGACTGGGGAGAGGGAAAAAAAAACAAAAACCTATTGAGGTCAAAACCTGAAATCATGCTAATTGCCTGAAGAATTAATGTAATCTCTTTGACCCTGAAAGCACAATTCTTAGCTTTGTTAACCACTTTATGTCTAGTTAGGGCTTACCTTGATTTTCTGACCATGACTGGGCCTAAGTGGGCTCTGTATTTATGTTTAGCGTAGTATTCACTCTCAGTCTTCTTGTCCTAAGAGAAAATTTGTCTTGGGTCACCCTGGTCTGTGAGCAGCAGTGCAATGGTTCTTGGTTTGACAGAGTTGCTGGTGGCTTTCATTTACTTTAGGCATTTATTTTGTAGGAGGTAGGAATGCAAGCTATTATGTGCCTTTGCAGAGCTCATGTACAATTAAGGTTGACAAAGCCAATCTTACTGTCTTTAATCAGATGATGGCTTTCTTCAGTCTGGGAAAGCAGCTCATGGAGGAGTCTGAGGAGGAGGTAGAGACAGGACTGTGCAGCAGGGAGTCAGGGAGAGAGTAGGTGTTGGGGGAGAGGGAGGAGGTGAGAGCAAGTCTGTCTCTCTTGGCAGCAGTGAGCTGTCATGTCAGATTTGTCCTGCTTTCCATAGCTGGTTGACATAGATTGCAGTGATTTTGAGCAGTAGAAAATCCTTTATGGAAATCCAGTATGTGCAGGACTCTTAAACAATTTTATGGGGCTTTGTTCTGGGGGGGGGGGAATTCTGGGGAGGTTATGAGTAAGAGATTATTTTTTCAGTATTTATACAGCACTACTACTGCATCCTTTACTGGCCTATATCTCAAATACTGTACTAAATCCTCTTACATAGCAGTTTATACTCTAATGAAAATAATTGCAGTTCCTTGTTCAGCAGTAAGGCAGAAGATCCCAGTGCCCTTGCACGTGTGAGGGTACAGAATTGGAGGCCAGCCTGCAACCAAAAATGAGACTGCTCATGGCAGCCTTCCCAGTGCTTGCTGACAGCACTTGTCCCAGATAAAGTCTCTTGTTAGGCCTATGGGACTTGCAGAGATTGCCAGTTAAATTAACTGGACCTGAACAAAGGTTTGATCAGTTTGGGAAATCGATTTGTTAACTGGTGACAAATGGCTCAGGAGCTCAAAGTGTAGCTTTATTATGAGGCCTTTAGACATGCGTGTCAAACTTATTCGTGGTCCCGATTCCATGTTATCTTGAGGTAGTGCTAAAAGAATGACAGAGTCATTGGACACTGGCAGATAGGTACTGAAAGGAGATGTGTTTGGGAGTGGATGGGGCCAGGAGAGAGGTCTTTAATTCGTTTTTTACCTCAGCATAGTAAACTCTGGACTAGTAAACGCAATATCATGTTTAATTTGAATTATGCGGTGGCCAGTCTTTCCACATTTTGATTTAATTGATGCTCTCTTTTAGTAACCGTCCTGCATACAATCTGCTTAGATCTTGGTTAAACTCATTCTATTAATATTTAATGTCAGTTCTTCCTCCCAGTGTGCTTATTCCATAATGTATTCTAGCAGTGATTTTCCCCTTCCTCAGTTGATAGCCAAACCATTGCCAAAGATGTACATCTCTACCAGTTAGGTTTTGCCATCAGTTTCAGCCTGAGATGGCTTCTGTGCGCAAACGAAATAGAGATTGTTGAGCTTTTGGATTCCCTTTTTCTTTCTGCATGTAAAACTACTTCTCTGTCTTTTATTTTTAACTTGCCCTGTTCTGTTTCCTTTTGCAGATTTCTCTGCTTAAAAAATAAGACCAGCGCATCAGTTGTTTTTACGACATACACACAGAAACATCCTTCAATAGAAAAGGGCCCGCCCTTTGTTCAACCACTGCTAAACTTCATCTGGTTTCTGTTATTGGCAGTTGATGGGTACAGTCTGATTTTTCTCACGTTGTTCTTGGTTTCCTTTTCAGTTGTTACTGAGATTACATTTTTGGTTGTTTCCTTTCTAGAGGAAAACTAACAGTATTTACAGTATTGTGTGAACAGTATCAACCTTCACTGAAAAGAGATCCCATGTATAATGAGGTGAGTTACTTGTAGTTGTAAACAGGATTTAACCTACAGAATTAGTTAAATAATAGCTGATTGTCTCCTGTTTTGTGACTCATAGATAGGAGTCAGTGATCTAGCTTGTGTGGTGTGACTGCTGTCCATACTATTTCCACCTCTAAATGGAGCAGCTGACATCATTGTTCTTCATCTTGTGTCGTTTCAGTACCTAGATAGAATAGGACAGCTTTTCTTTGGTGTTCCGCCCAAGCAGACATCGTCCTACGGAGGGTTACTAGGTAAGGTTTATGCTGACAATTGTTTATAGATACCGCCAGTCTTTTCAGAGCAGTGGCTTACATAAACCGGCTGTGCTGGAAACAGATAATTTGTTCTAACGAATATATCGTTTTTTTCACAGCCTGTAGAAACAGTCACTGCTGTAGAATACAAGATGAATTGGTTGCATGTGAAATTAATTTGGTGAAGCTAGTAGGCTTTTCATCTTTGAGAAGGGGAGAAGCATGTAAATGACTCTTACAGTTAATTTTTGACATTATGGTATAACTTCCAAATGTAAAGAAAAATCTCGTTTGTGTTAAAGCTTAATTTCCTCAGACTTCAGTGGCTGATTTTCTTTAAGTCAAGCCTGGGACTTTATATCAAGTCCTGATATAAAATGAATGTTCCCAAAGTAGAAGTTCTGAGATTAATACTGCCCTTCTACAAGAAATGAAAGGCAATAGAGAAATTAAGCCCTCATTTCCTGGCTCTTGAATAAAATGTGAGCAAATTGAACTGGATTACTTTTGTAGAATTGAATGTTTTTCCTTGAGAACTAAGCTTCTCTTTTTGTAAACTGAATTGAAGCTTTACCTGCAAATGTCAATTCACTGATATCCAAAGTTTGATGAAAAACATGAGCATCACAGATCCCATATGTAAATAACAGCTTTTCAGCAATGCAGGCATCTTTAAATTGAGTAAAACAGGGAGAACGCATAAATGCCTCGAACAATTTCTTTATAGCATGATGCAGACCATTGCTGGGCTTTGACAGTTTCATGGCTGGAGGTGTGTCTTTCCTCATTTGGTTGTTTGGGGCTTTTTTTCCTCTCATGCTGCAACTATAGTACATAAGTATGCAACTTTAGTGGGGTTTTTCCAGTGTACTCTTAGAGAAGGAACAGTATCAAAATACAGCTTCCCAAATCAATAAATTCTTAATGGAAACCAGTGTGGGAATACTAATGTCCTGCTGAGACTCTTTTACTTTAAAAAAAAAAAAAAAAAGTTTTTTTCATTATTTAAATCTGCACCCTAGCAGGATGGTAGATGGTAGGAGAATAGTTAAAGTTTTTGAGATGAGAACGTAAAACTAGCAATTTTGACTGTCCTGTTATTTTATTCTAGGAAATCTTTTAAACAGCCTGATGGGAACTGGAGAAGATGATGACACAGAAGATGGTCAGGAAGATAGCAGTCCTATTGAGCTCGACTGAATGTTGTTGTCATTGGGTGCCGTGTAAATCTGATGATTCGATGACTCCAAAGACAGTTTTGGAATTTGAATCCTGCAGTTGTTTCTTGGCACCTAAAAGGGCTCCTCCGGTCTTTTAGAAATGGTTGCTGAAATGTTTATAATGTTTGGTCTATATTATTTATGTAAAAAAAAGAAAGAAACCAACAAAAAGTAGCCAAATGAACCAAGCGGAGCAATTGTTCGCAGGTTTCCGATACAGCGGCTGGTGACTTTGATTAAAATATAGTCTTCTACGGTTTCTGATGCAGTATTCCCTTTTGCGCAGTAATTCAGTAAAGCATAAATATGGGTCTTGTACTTCACGGCCTACCCACTACCATCTTTGTTATGAGAAAGCCTCCTTGACCTCTGCCACCTCCAAGGAAGATCTCGAAAGGCAGGGTGATCAATTGAATAATTTATTTGCGAGGCTGGTGCCAAAAGTACTGCGAGATGAGCCAAGAGGCATAATTTGAGATGCACATCCAAGAGACATTGATTCCAAGAACTTGCTTCCACTGCCGTGAGTAACGTGCACACCATTCATACTGCCTTTCGCTCTCCTTAATGTCTGGCTCTGGCCAAGCCCACCCCTGTCTTTAGCCAATACTTCCTGAAAAGCACAAGATGATTGACTTGCTCTTGCATAAAAGCCGATCAGTGGAACATAGGTAATTGGCTTCCATGTGGATCTCTCTTGCCTAGGTATAAAAACTTGGCTCATGGCTCTACTCCTTTGGAACAGATTCTTTTTCAGTGTAAGTTCACAACCATACGTAAAGGCGATGGCGTAATAGTGAACAAAATGATGTGCCGCGAGCAACGTATGTGTTTGAACTGCAGCTGTATGTAAAGAAAAGGGATACTGCAGAACTTTTGGTTCCTTATGATATATTTATTTTTCTTGGGTGATTGATTCATTTAACACTTTCTGTAAAAAAGAATAAATCAATAAATAATGGAGTAACTTCAACCCCAATGGTAGGCATAGCCATTCTACATCTCCTCCTCTTTAATGCAGCACAGTGGATGTCAGTGGTACAGTGAACAGATGAAATGGTGGGAAAACGCTTTATTTTTTCATGATGAAAATAAAAAGGCTTAGATTAATAAACAGCAATCATGCATGGGGGAGGGAGGGATTAATCAAATTTATTGACTGTATGAAAAAGAGAAGGCATTGAAAGGAAGACTTTGTGTTAATTGTGAAGTCTAAAATAAACACTTTATACCAGGATGTGCGACACTGCTGCTTTCTAAGAGTTTTACGAGCAGAGATCTTACTTCCCTTGCCATTTTTCCCCCTCTCTCTGCGTTTGAGCATGGGTCACCCAGACCTGAGTGCTGCAGCTTTCTCTTTGTGCATAATCTCTGGGGCAGGTGTGGATTGCTTTGATTTGCAGCACGTTCAGGGAAGAACCCCCCCCACCCGGGATGATGCTGTAGACATTTAATTAAATGGTCTGGGACACTGGCAGCGGGTAAGGGCCACATCATTTCATTGCTTTTGGCTGCCAGCAAACGTGCCCGTCTTGGGGCAGCACCGGCCCCTCCTGGGTCCTGCACGTAGGGCTAAAAGTGAGTTTACGTGGTCACCTGGGCTCCTCCAGGTCTCCAGCAGCCCCCGATTTGCACCTTGCCTGTGCCCAGCCCAACCCCAGCCCCGCTGGGAGGGCAGCGCCCGCGGCCGGGGACCCTGCGGGGCTGCTGCGGGGCGCGGGCTGAGCTGCAGCGGGCCCGCAGGCAGCTGCGCCGCTGCCGCAAGGGGGGGGGCATAGATACAACATACACCGTCAGGAATTACAGCCATAATAATTTAAATAATTATGGCATATAATTTATAATATTAATTATATTAGTCTTAATTATACATGCATACAAACAATCTTTACAGCTAGCTATAAACACAAACAACTAGCCTGTCCTCTCCCTGCTTCTGACGTGCCTGGGGTTTTAAGTGAGTGAGTGACAGTGTGTAAAATACATATTTATAAATACATTTAATATAAATGAAATAGCTATCTCTCTCTACAGTTACGCATACACATATGCATGTGGATATATGTATGTTTATATGCAATATATTTCTCTTTAATATATTTATAAATTATATACTTTGCACATATAAAAAGCATGCACATGTGTATATTTATAATATAATTATTTTATAAATTTGCAATTATAAAAATGTTTCTATAGATATACAGACACATGTATGAAATACATTTAGCTTATATATTTGTAAATTAAATGTATATATCTAAGGATAGCTTCATATATACATGGTTGTGTTCATACACACTATTCGGCTCATATACACACATAAAAGTATTATATATTACGCCATATCTACTCTGCAGTTTATAGTTGTGTCTGTGAATATTCAACTCATAGAATTTATTTCTATATTCCTAAGAAATAGGTATCTTTTGTGTATGTATGTGCATACATAGATATAAAATGAGTTGTATATATAAAATATATACAAGGTACACTATATAATACACACATATACACAAATAAGTATAATATATATTATGTTATACATAAATATGTGTGTGTAGTTTACACGCACTACAGTTACCTGGTATACGCACGTGTGCAGCTGCCCCCCGCCCTCGCACCGAGCAGCGGGTGGGTCTGTGGGTGTCCCGCACCCCCAGGGCTCTGCCGCCACCCTCACCTACTTGTTTTCAGTTGTTGCTTTTTTAACCCCATCTCGCCCCCTCGCCCCAGCACGACACAGCCACGGCTCTGACATAATAATTTATTGGTTCAAATGACATTTAGTACCACAGTTGTCTTACCAGTGACGGAACGAATGCATACAGCTGATGAGATGCTCTCATTTACACACACCAACGTAAGAAACGCGTCGAACGGGTCAGGGTCTGGGGCTGATACTTCAGTGGACATCGGAAATGTCATTTTTGGGTAAAAATCCAGCACGTGGTGTGCAGGTCCCAGCCCGCCCCAACCGCGGGAATTACAGTGCTCAACACAGCGCTGAAACGTCACTTCAAGCAGCTTTTTTTTTTTTTTTTTGGCAGGAAAAAAAAATCAACAAAAAAAATTAAGAGAATTACTGAAAAAAAAAAAAAAGTGCAACCACCAGTTTGGAGAAGCAACATGCCGTCGGCTGGAGGGACGCGCCTGCCGGGGGGAGCCAGGATGGGCTTTCATGGTGCCTGTCTACAAAACTGCACTCAAAGCACAACCCCCCCACCCACACCGGGCTCCTGAAATGGGGTGACCCCCCGAACCATGGAACAGGAACCTGGGGAGCACAGGGACAGTGGGGCAGTGAGGGGGGCTTGGGCCCTGAGCCCAAAAGTTTTGCTCCCCTGGCATCGCCTTGTGGCTCAGTGTCCCTCTTCCCCTTGCAGGGCCCCAGGGCTGGGGGGGCAATGCTGCCTCGCCTGCACTGAGCACCCCTTCTCCATGCCTTCATTAAGCAGATAATGAGGCTGACAAGGCCAACGATGCCAATTTCCTCTATTTCTAAATCCCGTTTGACCCTAGCCTGGGTACAGCATCACCACCGCTCCCCAGGTGAGGTAATTTACTTCTCATTTACCCCGATGCCAATGGAGGCTCAGCCATTTCACACATCATCATTTCGGGTGTTTCCAGGTCGGTGCTTCGTGTCCCACAAGGACGTCACCGTTCAGGGACTCGCAGCCTCCCAGGGAAAGGGCTGGTGGAGAGCCAGGGCTGCGGGGATGCTCAGCTCCAGCCCACGTGGACCAGCTCATAGGGAAAAGTCCCATCTCCCCCCAAGACATGCCACCAACAGTCTTCGCCATCCCACCAAAGCTGGGTGGGACACCCCTTTCAGTGGGTGTGGGGTGACGGGGCCGCGGGGACCACCCATCCCAGCGGCACATCCCGTGGAGCGGCCACAGAGCCGAATTTCAGGTTGGATCAGCATCTTCTCCGACATTTCGCTGCCGCCCTTCTTGGTTTCCGACATGATCAAGTGAATGATGAGGGGAAAGGGAAATAGTATTACTATTATTACTGTTATTATTACTATTCATTATTTTTAACATTTCAAATAAAACCATGTTGTGTTGTAAACAGAAGCTCACTCCTCAGGTCTGCCCAGCCAGTCCCAGCTAAGGTTTATGTTTGAAATGGGCTTCCACTGAAAGAAAAAAACAGAGAAAATAAAGTTAAAACCAGGAGAAGCACTGGCAGGTGGCGCCAGCCTGGCGCAAGCCCACCCTGCAGGTCGTCCTTGTCTTGCCGATGCTCCTTGGCTCCGATTCTCCTTATAAATGGGTGTCCGATCATCCTTATGGCACTGTGGACATCACACCAGAGGTGACGAAGAGAGAAGGATACCATCCTCCTCCTCCTAATGTGAGTCCCTCTCTGCTTGGATAGCCTTCGCATCCTCCCCCGGGCGGGGAAGGGCTGCCCCACTCAAGCTGCGCAGGAGGGAGCAATGCCGCTGCATCCCCAATCCTTCTCCCATCCATCCCATCCTCTAACGCGCAGGAAATAAATGGGCCGAGGCTGACCTCCAGCCCTCACCAGCAAACACACCTGCGTATTCCTGAGGCAGCATCGGCCGGCTTATAACTTTCTGAAAAGTTGTAATCCACTCCAGCTGGTCGTCCTCCGTCTCGCAGGCAAAGAGGAATTTCCGATCCGGGGTGACAATGGTTATCCCGTGCTGCCAGTGGTTTCCCTGCGTGGATGGCGGGAGCCCTTCCAAGACCTTGTAGCTGTTTTCCTTGCTTCCAATAAAAACTTCCCCTCTAGCAAAGGCATCCTGGGAGACAGAGGAGCGGTCAGGCAGGCATGACTGTGAAGGGGAGCTCTGCGTCCCGGGCAGCCAGGACACGGCTCACCCTGCACCAGCCCAAAGCCCCATCAGCAAAGTGCAGCAGCCAAACACCGAAAGCACCAGCCACCCCACGAAGCCTCACTCCAGCTCCTCACAGGGGCATCCATGATACAGGACCAACACCAGGGATCCAAAATTCAGCTGCAGAAAAATCAGGGTTTCCAAAGCATTTTTGGTGAATATCTGTGCATGGGGCTACTGCATGCTGGACATCAGGCAGATCCACCTAGCAGTGACGGCTCAGTGCCCTCTTGGCGCTCCCACCCAGCCTGAGTTTCACTGATGATGACGATGATGATGATGATGATTATTATTATTATTATTATTATTACAGATAATTCCCAACAGACAGCCCAGGCACCTTCATCTTACCAGGGGATCTTTGAAATACATGAGTCGTCGGTCATCCATGGTGAACCATCGCTTCTTGAATCCCTCTGTTTGCTGAAGAGTCAAAAAATGCTGGATTACACACAAAAGCAGCACAGCTCCTTGCTTACCGGGCATGACCCAGGAGCATCAAGGCACTCGGAGGAACCCAATGGGCTAGGGGAGTTGGGGACAGGTGACTTCTGGGCCACTGTGACTTCTGGGCCACCGTGAGCCACCACAGCCAGGCTCTGGGCCAGCTATACCAGGTGGGCTTGCGGGAATAGGCAGTGAGGGGGGAGATGGGGTGACTGGTCTGTGAAGTGGTTCTGGATTTTTTAATGTTTGCGTCCAGGTGGGGAATGTGTATTAATGCGTTCACAGCATTAAGGCTTTGCCTCCCTGGCAAAGGTGGGTTTGTGCCACCAGTGGACCCTTCTCAGCCCCATACAGAGCAAGACTCGTGTTCAGAGGGACTGCAGAAACATTTTATATCCTACCTTTGGCCCTGTTTTCTCCATGTACCCTTCCTTCAGGTAGTTTCTAGAAAGCTTTGGCACCAGCTGGAGCAACCAAAGAGGAGAGAAAAAGAGAGCAGCGTCAGATGGAGGGAGCTGGCCTGGGGGGCCACTTGGAAGGAAAGCCCATGCTGCGCTTGCCCCCGGCCCCAAGCCCACCCAAGACAGCTCTGACTGAATGCTTCTGTCCCACTTCTCCAAAGCCCTCAGAAGAGGCAGGTACAGAAACACAAAGCATCTTTGAGCACTTTGCCAGCAAAGCAACCAGGCTCCAGGAGAAGCCCCCAGGCCAAATCCCACTTCACCAGTCAGCTCTGGTGATGCATCTCCTCTCCCAGATGCAGGGGAGCTCCTCACGCAAGCCCCAAAGTATAATTTGCCTTCAAAACCCCATTAATGTGCACTGCCTGTGCACTCCCCCTTCCTGCAGATATTGCTGACAACAGCTACCAGCGCCAGAGATATTTTTAACGCTGCTTAGTGAAGACAAGCCTGTAGCTGTGAGATCTTTGCAGATGCCTCTAAAAGCCTTAAGAAAGGTATCGAGTCTCACCAAAAACTGGGCCGACGAGCCTGGCCACACACCGCTCTGCTTCCCCGCCCCTGCTCCTGCCTTTCATTTAAACAGGTTATTAACGGCTCTGCTTGCCAAACCGCACGCCCGCAACATCTAACCCTGCCCAACAGCAGCTCTGCTCGAGCAGGCGTGTGCTTGTAGGACAAAGACACCCCAAAATACAACAGCCCAAAGAATCACACAGCTGGGAGCATCTTCATCTTGGATGCTTTGTCGCGGGCAGCAAAGGACTCTGCAGCACTTGTAGCATTTGGCTCCCGGGACAGGGCTGAGGACACTTTGCTAAGCAATGAGCTCATCACCCTCGGCTCAGAGAGGTTCCTCCACCCTGGAGATGGGTCCCTGAAGCATCCTTCGGAGAGCCTCCTTCCCTGGGAGCTGCAGAGGCAGCCCGGGCATCCTTAGGGTGGTGTGAGCAATTTATACCTCTCTACTGCATTTAGCCTTGCTCCTGTTTAAATTTAACACCTTTTCATCTCTCTAGCAGGGAAAAGAAACCATGAATTAGATACAAATGATGGCAACATCCAGGACTGAGCTACCTCGCATACATAACGCAACCTTTGCAGAGTTGTCCCTAAGCTGAACGCTCCGAGGGGTTGTGCTTGTAAATTAAACCTAGCTAAACGTTACACTCTTTTTTCCCCCAAAGAATAATTGATGAGAAGGGGATGATTAGTAAAAATATAATAGCTTATCTCCCATCAACACTGTCAGAGGGTGAGCATATAAACCCTCTCACCAACTGCTGGCAAATGGCAACTCTATTAAGGTCTGTGGGGGTTTTTTGGGGTGATTTGATTCAGATGTGCCAACCAACTTTAACAGAAGTAGAGGATGTGGAGAGGGGGAGAAGTGATTAAGGAAAGTATACGCTGCACGCGACTGTACTATACCCGGCTAATGAGGCTCTTTGTACAGTTTTTCATATTTGCCCAGTTTAACTTTTTATCAGAAAATGGTCTGAAGTCCCTTGTGCCAGGGATCACCAGCCGTGGGACCATTCTTCTTTCTCCTCCCCTCATTATCCCCACGGATTAGGATGATCTGGGGTAGGTGATGTCTTACATGGGTCCGGCAGGAAGGCTTTGGCTCCGGTGGGTCCCTGGGGTGCACGGGCAGCTGCGGGACAGAGCCACCCTGCAGCCCAGAGCCAGCCCCCGACCACCACTGGACCCCTCCCAGGCAATTAACAGAAGGCAGGTAATGCAATTAGATTTCAAAATCTAGGAAGTCAAGGAGGTAACAGAGTAACCAACAACAACGAAAAGTCCAGAGCCAGTAACGTTACACAGCAATTGCAATACAAGGCACTTACAGTCAGCTTGCACTAATACAGACTCTAGTATTATATTAGCAAAAGATAATGCAATTAGCAGTCCCGGCTCCCGGAAAATACAAGACAGAGATTTGTAAGACAGGCTGCATTGACCTGCACACAAGAACTCATCCCAGGGGCTTGGATACAGCGCTTGACACTCTTTTGCCTTCATCTTTTCTACCTTTCAGCCTTTGTTTCAGCTTTTAATATTATAGCGACAATATTTGAGGAAGACACTTCGGGCTTCTGTACGCTTGACAGCGCTGGAGTTACTCATACGCACGACTCACGTTTTGAGCGTGAACAGGCGTGTGTGCACAGGCACGCACACGGTTTCCAAGGCTGGATGCTGGTAACGAGTGCCGCACGTGGGCTCTACAGCCCACCACAATCATTTCAGCCCAGCAATTGTAAAATGCTCTGAAGGATGGAGCACTCTCCAAGCCTTCCAGCTTGGTAACTAGATGCTAAAAATGAGCAAGAGGGAAAAAAAAAAAAAATAACCACAGGAAAACTCACATCAACGTCGCTGGCTCCAGGGAATGCCACTTGTAAGTAATGAAAACGTGCTGCCCGGATGGCATTGAACCAATCCACTATTTCCTAACAACGAGAAAGAAAAGTATAGTGAGTAACACAGTCTGCACATAAAATAACGTGATCCTGCTGCATTTCATCTGTCCCATCACTTTGTCCCAAGTGACAGAGCACAGTTTAGCAGCATTCCTAAAAAAAAATAAAATACAGACATAAAAGAGGGCAGTGAACGGGTGAAGGATGGGGAACATCCAGCTGCTGTCCCAGGCTTCAAGACGCGCACAGAGCTCTGCAGCCCACAGTGAGCACCAAGGGGCTTTCTGCAAAGGGAAGGGTTTAAGCATGTCTCTGAACTGGCAAAACCAGCATCAAATGAGCATTTGAGATACCGAGCCCAGCATTGAGTTTGACCCTATAAACACTGCTCGGCTCATGCTGGCTGGGTGCAGCCTGCCCACCACCACCCCCTGCCCGCTCGGTCCCTCCAGCAGCCACAAGCTGACTGTGGGCAGGACATGTGAGGAACACTCGAATCCCACATAAATTTTGAGGCCTTAGCAACATATTTCAGTGTTTTGCTAAAAGAGCGGTCAAATATCTGTTTATCTTTGTACTCCAGTCTATCAGTCATACCCACGAGTCCTCTAGAGACAAGCACAGTGATACTGAAGTCCCAGTTCAATTCCCAGATGCTGTGGCACTTCTACCTTTCCTTGGCAGAAATCTCGCTGTTTTTTTTGGTGGGGATTTTTCCCTCTGAAATAGTTGTTTTACAACTCACTTGTTTTCAAACTCATCTATTCCTTTATCTCTGGTAAGACCCACAGAGCTTGGCCTGCACTGAATGCCTTTTTGAAGGTTTCACTCAGAAATGCCACATTAATTTTAAGTGATCCGCACAGGGAGCTCTCAAATAACTGCCTGGTAGTCTAAAGGTATGGGCAAAGAAAAGGCATGTTGGAAGGGAGACGTAACAGCTGCCCACACCGGGATGCTGAACTATTCAGCTGTCATTAACACACGTGGAGCTTCACGCATCAGGGACAGGTTCACTGAGCCAGACTTGATCCTAAAAGAAACACTGCCAAGCTTTCAGGTGAGGTTGCTGTAGCATAGGAAAGACCATATCAAAGCAGAAGTCAGTCTTCAGTAATATTTAAACTTTTTTATGCTTTAAAAATGATTGGGGGGAAAAAATGGCTCTTATTTGTAATTTTGCTAGATCTCAGTTTTAAGGAGTGAAATTTGAGGTATCTCAAAAATGGTCTAACGTGGCAAATAGCCACCCTCTAAAAGTTCAAACACTTTGGCTTGTTAATCTACTTCAAGTTGAAGGGGAAAAAAAAAAAGAAAACCAACACAACAGGACATACACAAACAATGTTTTGGAAAACTCTGACCTACTTGTCTGAGGTTTTACTTACTTATCACTTGCTTTCCTACCCTAAGCAGCTAAGCAGACCCCAGACAGCAGCACAAAGAGGATCAGCAAGAGGAATTGTCTCCTGAAGTTAATGATGACCAAACCAGGCTGGAAGTAATGAAAATAAGCTGTAAGGTTAAAATGTTGATATTTCACACAGTCACCAACTGGATGGCTATATATATCTGCACATCTCCTCTGCAATCGTGATGCGAGATAGGGTTTCACCCTGCAGAAAAGCTGAAACTCTCACTGACTTCCAACAGCCTCGGAGTATTGGTCGTACATCGCTGGAGGAAGGGGCACCACCACCTTTCTTTATAGAAACCTGTACCTACATATGCAAAGCCAGAAGACTCAATTGTTAAAAATTTTCTGCATGCAATTATGAACAACGCCACAGATGGAGTGAGAAGATTGTATCTGATGTATTAAAACATCAAACTGCTCAGTGTTTTCAGATGGGAAGGTGTTGTCTCATTAGCTCATTAGCAGAGATTTCTTTCACTGATTTATGTCTCAGAGCCTGCACCTTTGCAAATGGCTTTTCCAGGCTCTCAGCTCCCTCCTGGTCCGCTTGCAGTGCCACTGCAGGCTCCCCCTCCGCATCACTTCGGTGTCTCTCCAGTCTCTATCCTGCTCCAGAGCCGCCCACATTGCTGTGGCAGTCTCAAACTGACAACCCCAGATAAAAATGCAACTTCTCACCGTACCTCCTGCTTGTCAATCCCTGGGGCTCGAGGAATGAGCCCCTCCACCACAACTCCTCCTGCTGCTGATCAATCCCCTCAATGCCACCTCTTCCCATCCTGAAAGCTCCTGGCATGGCTCAGGAAAGGAGGAGCACTGGGGAAGAGTGTATTGCTAATTTGTACAAAAATCCAAAGATCTTGCTTTGCACCCTAAAAAGTGGCCTTTCCTGGAGATTCAACCCACCTCTGAGCATCCTAAGGGCGATGGTAACAGCAGGGATGGCAGCAGCACACCGCAGCTCTCCGAGCTGCTCCTGCTGTGGCTTCCAGGAGAAGTCCTGCAGAGGGAGCTTCAGCCCCAGACAGGAGCTCAGAGCAGTGGGAAATCCACTTCTGCAGCTTTCCTGCCTCCCACGCCCAGATGGAGATTTGGGGGCAGGTAAAGGCTGGCTCCAGCCTTGTGCCCATGGGAGGGACAGCCTCGGCAAGAAGCTCCAGTTCAGGTGCCTCCAGGACACGGGGCAGTCTGCACCGAGGAGTCAGCCCACGCCGAGGATCGGTCTCGAGCTCCAATGGGTGCCTCAGCTTCACCCTGGCTGGCTCAGTATGTCTGGTGGTGGGTAAGTGCTAACAAGGGACCGCAAGTTAAAATGGTCAAAGCCCAACACACATCTTGCCCTGCAGCTCCAGGCACCTGCTGTGATTAGACACCCACATCATGAAAGCACCCAGATATGCCCATTTTGAGCAGGGTGCTGGGGCTGGTTTCAGTCTCTCGTTTGCAGTCAGGACACACCGAGGAGCTGATGAAGCCACCAGGCTGAGGACACGCAGGAACTACATCTCCAGCCAAGTCGCATGATGATGTCCCACCCCATGAAGCTCTGGGGCAGCACCACAGCAACCCACTTCGTCCGACCATCTTTCAGCCCTTTGGGTGCCTTACTCCAGGGCTCTCCCAGCTGTTTTAGGGGTTGAATAAGCACACGTGGGATTATCCTATCCGAGAGAGGAGCCCACTTTCTTCTGGGGTATTGCAGCAGAAGAGCCAAGTGGAGAACAGCATGCAATGCTCTGGATTACTGCCGAGTTCCTCAGCAGAAAAAAAAAACCAAACAAATCCTGCCCTGGTGGAAGGCCAGCTAGATCGGTGACAGGATTAGGCAGGGAGGGATCAAACCCCAGAAATATGAGACAGGAGTCTAAATCAGGCTCGAGTGCTTTGGACTGGGGAGAGGCAGCACTTCTGGGGTACAAGGGGACACGCTGGGGCTGCTGGGGGAGCACAGGAGGGAGCAAAGGGCAGCGGGGGACCACAGGCGAGTCCTGGGGCTGCCTCCAGTCCCAAAGGGTGGTAGCTTATCCCAGGGGGTATGATCTTCTTGCAGCCCTCGCTCAGCCGCAATTTCAGGGACGTGGAAAGAAATTAAACCTGGGCATTATCTGATGGCACCAGAGCGTGACCTGCCAAACCACCGACACGAAGGCAGGAGCAACTGTGTGAGACCTGCGAGACTGCTCCTTCCACGAGCTCCCAGCAGAAAGCTCAACATTTTAAACCCAAAAAACAAATAACAGTAAAACCCTGACTCCATTCCTCGCAGCTGGGCTGAGTGGACCACCAAAGCCCAGCAAACCAGACATGGGCACGACAGTGGGATGCAGCTTCCACAGGAAAGAGCTTCTTCCTCTTATTTTGGTTTAAATTGCAGCCAAGGAGGTACTGGAGAGCGACCCAAGCGATACTTTTCTGTGCTAAAGCGGCACCTGGTGACAAGCGATGCCTGCTCCGCACCATGGGACTTCCACATCCCACCAGGCAGAGCGGATCGAGGGGAGGGCAAATTCGGGAGCAGCCCTGCCAGAGCAGCTCTCCGGCACCCTCAAACGCATGGAGTGAGATCCGCAATGCTGCAGGGTGTGAGAGGCCAGGCAGGCTGACCGTCTATTATGCATGTCTATTATATGCATATATGCATGTGTATGAATGCGTATTACATGCACATTTCTGTGCACATACAAAACCAGGAGATGCCACTAATTAACCCAACCTGACACGCTAATTTCCTCCTGCCAGGAGCACCTGCACTACACAGGAACAGCATCCAGCTGCTGCAGCGCAGCCCTGCCAGCACGACAGGCATCATCCAGCTCCACCACACCTGGAGCCTGAGAGGCAGCAGAGGCAAGATCAGCTTTGCTCACCTGCAAGTGAAAAATATCTTGGGGTTTGGTGGCATTATTGGCCTATACAGTCTGAAGAGGAGCGACTCTTCTATGAGCACAGACTGCTTATCACTAGCAGGACTGCCTGGCTCGCCGTGCCTGGGTGAACAGCTGGGAACAGGCAGTGCACTGAGACAATCCCGCAAATCCCCGCTGTGCCAGTCCACGAGGGATCGCCCCCAGAAAGCCTCCCTGGCAGACAGGGCGCTGAATGGGATGTAATATCAAAGGATGAAGGCACCGTGACGGCCGGAGGAAAGCAGACACAATGTGAACATGACAGCTTTAGGCTCTGATTTCGTGGCCACTCCAGGGCTGCTGCTATTTTATGGGGAGCCTCAAATATTTGGGGGAGGGAAGAAAGGAGGAAAGATATTAAAATAAGGCTGTGAGATGGTACCCACTGCAAACTCACCTGGGTCTGCTCTCTGCATGGACACCAGCCCGTGGAGACAAGACCCACAGGGCAGTGTGGTGACTGCTGCTGTTCTTCACGGTGGCCCCACAGGCTGTAACTGCTCTGACCCCCCCAGGAGGGCTGCGACCCCCCTCACTGCCCTGGCCTCCGTGTCCTGCTGTCCCCATGCAAACGACCGCCCCAGACCCATGAGCCCTCTTCTTCATACCTCCCTTCAGAGGCACAAGGGCATTGAAGCGAGGGGATTTATTTCAATACAAACACACGGATTTGCATTTTGTGAAGACAGGCAGAGAAACAACCAGTTCCTCAGTTCTCCTACAATCCAGTTCACTCCCCTTTTGTGAGTCCTTAGATCAAGTCCCCTCACCTTTCATCGCTCCGTTCACCCAGTCTCCTTCTCTGGGCACGAAGGAGGCTGCCTTAAAAATGCCTCTGCCCCTATGTCTAGTTGCAAGCAGAGGAACAGCAATTCCTTCCATTTGCATCTTGTTATTTAGAAGACACGGTTTGCAACCTTCCTGCTTGGAAGGACACGACAAACACGTTCAAAGCTGGTGGTACATCCCGTACCCTTATCCCCCCAGCAATTCCCAGCTCAGTGTGCCACAGGCTGGCTCTGAACAGCATCACCCCCCCAGGACCATAATCCCATAACCCAACCCTTCTTTTTACCGCCGCGGTCTCACCTTGCCATCTTCGTGATAGACAAAGATGTTCCTTGTGCTATTGTCCTTCAAGTAAGTGATCTGCAGTCCATGTGGGTTCCCGATTTTTGCAGGCTGGAAAGTCGCATTTAGATGTTCAATCTTCATAATTGCTTTGGGCTCTTTTGCCTGGAACACACAGCTGAGTGAGCAAACACCTGAGAATTGGCTTTCAAACCAGAAAGCAGTTCACTTGGTCAGAAAAAACTCCTGATTGAGGCCAGTAGCTAAAAAAAAAAAAAACCAACTCCCAGCCCACAAAACTGCCTGGTGATGAGACATCAGAGACTTTGCTCGGGTGGCAATGACTGCTTTCTGCCAGTCTGGTAGAACATTCTGCTCTTCTGCAAAATTCAGCAGAGTTCAAGAGGAGAAAGGTTGCAGCCCAGAAGCAAGATGAACAGGCCAGGTCTCCTGATAGGATGTTGTGCTATCAAGACAAACATCTTCACCATGCCTCCTGCCCCAGCCTCTGTTCAACTGTCTCCTGACTCCTAGATCAGCCTCTTTACCTAATGATAAGTGACCAGCATTTACACTGGGATAAGCACTATCAAAGAAAATCATTCAGCCAGACAAAATAAAATGCAGACTGCTAACTAATAGGTCAGGATGCTTTCTGCATCTCAAGCACTCACATCCAGTTCATCCTTGTGCAAGAAGCTGGAGGATTATCCCCCTTGCCAACATCAGACCTGGGTGCTAGGCTGGCAGGGGGCACCATGCCTACATCCTCACTGGTCCCATCCTTCCACATGAGCCATTGGCTTCTGACACTGCTCCTCCATTTGCCCTCCAAACTGGGAACTTTCTTTCCAGAGGGACAAATATATACCCTACAGCCCACCTCTTGGATGGGTTAGCCCAACAGTGAGCCTGGATCAGGCCCTCCCAGGCACCAATCCCACCTGCACCCTCTGTGGCAGGTCACTTGAACTTTGTAGCATGGTTCATCTTTCTACAAAACATTTCCAGAAGCTTACCACCCTTTCAGGACTGCACTGAGAAGTGAAGTAGCAAGTGTGAATAAAACATCCCCAAAATAAAGATTATGCTCTTGGTTACAGCAGTTTTAAGGCACAGCCAGAGGCCAGCAGAAGGTCATGCAGCGGTGCCGTGGTCCCCAGCACCACACGGAAGTCCCTGAGCTGGTGGAGATGCAAGCACCACTTTGGGAATTTGGGGACTTGCCGTGGACACACGGCTGCCGTGGGTGACCATGGCGGGGAAATCCCAGCAAAGAGGACATGTCTAGACAGTGCTGTTCCCACCACGGCTATGGTCAAAAACGAAGCAAGGCAGCTTTAAGCTACTGGAGAGGTCAATAACAACTGAATAGGGGCTGCTGGGACTTTCACTTCTCTCTTGGTAATGACTGGCTTTCTCCTGTCCACGAGGTGCAATTGCACCACACCAAGCTGAAGAAGACAGCACTATCAAAGCTGGCTGCCGGGTGTGGAGAAGTGAGTCTGGATGTTCCCCGTCTCTGCACGGCATGGCTCATCATGACACCACGATTGCATCAACTACTTGACAAAACTGGCTGGTGGCTCAGCCTGGGCTGCTCTCAGCTGCGATATTCAGGGGAAACTCATAGGTCAGAGAAAACACCTTGGCGTCCTCCATTACTTGGTGCAGAATAGTAGAGCGTCTATCCATTCATTACAAATGTAATTTTCATGGCAATAGCTCCATCTCTCACTTACAATAAATGAAACGTGCTTTGGGGAAAAAGACAAATGCTGCCACCGCTTGACGCCAGAACAGAAAACCAGGGGGCTCTTCCTCTGGGCTGCTTGCCATGCCATGCAAAGGAGGTTTCAGACCACTGACCACTGTGAGGTGGTGACACCTTCATCACAAGCTAGCCACAAGTATGAAGCCCATGTCAGCTGGATGATGTGGAGCCAGAGCTGAGAAAAACTCCTTCGTTGGCGGTTTAAGAAAAGTCTCATTGACACAACAGAGCAGGAATGTGTAAAATGGCCAGTTAGGGTGTCTCACCGTGACAGTGGTGGTAGACCAAGAGCAAACCCTACTAAAAACACTGGTAAGCTGTACCTGGCACCCTTGTCCTGGAGTGATCAGGGACTCAATGCTTACGAAAACTGTAAAACTATAAATAAAATGGTGGCCTAGGAATTACTTGTTCGAAGATACTTACAGTTGTGATCCCCCGTCCACATCGAACAACCCCAGGTACTCACGTCATTTTTGTTGAAGTACTTCAGTGCACCTTCCCTCTCTGATAACACGAATTTTCGGCTTAAGAATTGCCCATTGTCACGTCCTCTCTTCCACAGAAATCCTTCTCGGTACCCTGCGGCAGAAAGCAATTGCTGACAACCAGGGATAAAATGCTGTATTTAGAAAAAGAGAAAGGGTAAAGAAAAGGAAAAGAGCTTCTACTTCAACACCAAGCAGACCAAACGTGTGGCTGGATTGCTCAAGACATGAACAAAACAGGCCTTCTCCTTCAGATTTGCCCTTCTCACTCCGCTCTTGCTCTTTTCCAACAGCCTGAGCTTCACAGATGTCCCCGCTCTGACACCGCGATGTGGCAGGCAAAGGGGGATTTCCACTGCGCATCCCACGCTGCAACACCGGTGAAAACCTGAGGAGCAAGGCTGTGTCCCTGCCACGGCTCCCAGCGCCAGGGATGCTGCTCAACTTACGCACATAACTAGGACTTTCGGAGCAAGGGAAAGGCAGGTGAGATCTATCCTCCTGTGCTAATGCTGCTAAAAAAATAAAAATGGGGTGTGGGCACGCAGGGAAAGTGGTTCAGGGCGGATGGCTGTATCAGAGCAAGCCAGAAATACATTTTTCACATGGAAAAAGGGGAAAACGCTTGCAGTTCTTCCCACTGCCTTCAGGGCACTTTGGTTCAGAAAGCCAGTGAGCCAGACTCAGCACTGTCTCCCCTCGGAGCGGGTCCTTCCAGCCCCCAGGCACCGCGGCCAGGCAGCCTGGCTGGCCATGACGCGCCTCTTCTCTCTCCCTGGATGTCAGCCCCATGGGTGGATTTGCTGCTCGGGAAGAACGCTATTCAAAATACACATGCTTTATTTAAAACTCAAAAGAGCCAGAAAGAGAGAAAAAAGAATCTAAAAATCTTAGCTCCTCAAATCAGAAAAGCAATTACAGCTGATAACTGCCAGCACCTCCTGCAGCAGCCACAACACTCAACTTATTTCACAACAAGTTTAATTGTCACCCTTATTTTAAATGCTTCAAAACAAAGAAACCCCAAGAACTGTCCAATACAAGTTTTGTGGATATTAACAGAGCAGTTTGATGGTCGTCTTCCATTTATTTAAGATATAATTATACAAAAGTTCCACTGAAAAAGTGTTCCTTTTCTCTCTTAGTTTGACACTTGTTAGATTTTTGTTATTGGCTCTTGGGAGCTAGGATCTTAAAGTTAAAAATTATATGTTTTATAACAACTTTCAGCTAAGTAACTAAACTTTTTTTTAATATGCAAAGTGGCTCTGGAATCAGTGGGCAGCCTCTCCTTTGCCTGCCTGCTATGAACCCGTAGTGTGCAGAAATTGTTTATTCAACCTGCTTTTCACTTGTCCATCCTGATATAGGATTGATTTAAACCACAGATGAAAAGACGCAGAAAAATCCCTCAACCAGCTCCTCAATGCTGACTCTATAAGTACACGTGATATAAAGTGTTTCCATGCCATAAAAACCTAAAGCAAGAAAAAATGCACACAGACACACATTTAATGTTCAGAAAAGACAGGAAGAAAAGAGTGATATTGACAACGGCTAAAGATGCTAACCAAAGGGAAAGTGCCCATCTAGTTAAATGTACCTTTGCTGATAGTCAAAAATACCAGTTTTTTCTGTCTCGACTTACAAAACTCTAAGCCAAATACTTTCTCCAGATCCTCAAAGAGACCTTTACTGAACACCAGGGAAAGCCCTCGACGTCTGCCATAAATGAGTGCAATGGCAAAGCCTGTGCTGTTGCTAATGCTGAATGCTAACCACAGAGAGCATCATAAATCCGACCGACGCATCCGACGGCTGGCATGCTGGATTGCAAATGGGCTGTAACTTGACGCAGATGGAAGCAGTGGAAATATTTAAAGCTGTCAGCAGGCTTTCCTTTGTTTCTTTATTCCACACGGGGCATATGCTGCAGGGCTGTACTTTAAAATGCAGGGCCTCACCCTGCTCCCCAGAATGGGTGTGCGCTTCCACCCAAGAACCGGCATGGGGGGGGGGGTTCATTTCAGAGCCTGCAGGGATCCCCTCTCATGCGTTATTTACAGCTCACTTACACAAGAAAGTCAGCACAAGCAGAGTATGCGTCTCTCCTGCCGTGAGATCCAGCAGTCCCTGCTGCCTGCGCTCCCACGAACCTGCCGTTCCCCGTAGCCAGGCAGACCCAGCAGCAACCGAGTCCACGTCACTACCTAGAGACGCAGACAGGACAGCCCCAACCCTCAGTTATCCCACAGCCACGCACAACTGGTGATGCCACAGCAGCGTTCCACCTCCGAGCCCTCCCCATCCCTCCAGTGCAGGGCAAGTGCTCCACCCCACGCGGAGCATCGTCACCCATGTGCACCGGCAGCTGTATCCACGTACACCTGCCCAGTAACCCAGAGGACCGATACCAGATATATCAAAGGAATTACAGGTCTGAAGATCTTTCTCTGGTCCACCCATCCATCCATCCAGCTTGGAAGAGACCTCCCCAAAGCCATGAGCTAATTCAGTCCATCAATTCAATCCTATCCCAACTGCGGGCTTGCTATGCACTTTTTCTAGCGAAAAGACACAGCTAAGCTGTTGGAGGGCACTTGCAGTGTCAGAAAGAGAAGAACCCACAGGGAGCAGGATTATCCTAAGTCTGAGCAAGAGGAAGCAGCCAAGAAAGCCACTGAAACCCAGCCAAGGGCAGCCGCATCTGACAACAGCGCGGGAAAGACCCAGGCTGATGCACTCATATCACTGCCGTGGTAGGAATTAATTGCCAGGGAACTGAAGCTCTGACTGATTCAGAGTCAGATGCTGCTACCTGCCAGGCTCATATCAGCAAAAATGCTACATAACCTACAGCAGGCTGTACACGACGGAGCTGAATAGGAATAATATCTCTCTGACAGGAGACAGACAGGCAGTAGGTGATGCTCAGCTGGTACGTTCATAAAATGCAAGACTTGCTTAACGTGAGGCAGAGATGCTGCTGGGGCTCTGACGACTGGCATTTGCTGACTGCTTTCTTGAATGGCAAAACATTAAGCAGCTTGCTCTCAAAGTGTGCGGTTTAGAAACCAAGGACAGGCAGTTTCTGTTCCCAAAGGGTGCCGACTTTTAACAGCGAGCCAGTCAGAGCAACTAGACAGTACTTCACAAGCCATTTCTATTCACTCCACCAAATGGCAGAGATGGTTTCAGAGCCTCTCCACTGCCTCTCCATGGCTGACATTTGAGGAACACTAACATCTCATATGGGGCTGGAGAGAGCTGGGTTTGGAGGAAAGGATGTCGGTGTCAAATGAGAGAGAGGAGAGACAAGGCAAGGACATCTCCAAATGCAAATGCGGGGTGATGGAGAAGGAAAGCCCATCTTTTCCTTCAGAAATCCCCACCTGGGGGTTGCTCAGCTCAGCAGAGCACACTGGGCACACAGAGCTTAGCTCTCGGCAGCTCCACCTCAGAGCAGCTCAGCTCCACAAGTCTTGGCTGTGGGTCTCATCCATTCATTCATCTGGAGTGTTTCATTACGAACATCTGAATGGAGAAGGACGCCGCAGGCATTCCTTATTAAACTTGCTCCCCTCCACAACTCTTTTTTTGTCATTTTTCTTAGCATTTAAGGGATGAAGAATAAAATTACTCTGCATTTCCCCAAAGAGGATCTCAAACAATTGCAAATCTGTAAAGTCCACCTAATGCTTACCCCTGGCAGATGGGCATTGTAATGGTTAAATACGAAGAGAAGGAAGCCCAGAGAGGTTTGGTGAGCTGCCCAGGACAAGACTGTGAGCCAGTGTCAAAGTCAGGCTGGAAACCCAGCTTTCCCTGCCCTCTTACATAGGGACGTTTCATCATTTTGATCTTCTCTTTCCAACTTTTTGTGGCAAAACACAGTATCCAAATTCCACTCCAAGGAAGAATTAAAAAAACCCAACACAACACTAAGTTTTATCCCTTTCCGTAGTTCACTTGCCGGCTCTTCCCAGGCTGATCACCTCTGCAAAAGAGCTCCTGGCTGCTCTGACAAAGCCAGCTGCTAATTTCACTGTACTTCAGTACAGATTTTCATAAATCTTTTGCTGGCTTCTTTTCTTTTTCTTTCTTCCTTCCTTCCTCCAGGGCTGCGTCCTTGGGAGCTGTTCCTCTGCTCTGCCCAAACCTGCTGCCTGCACCCCTGTCAACACCGATCAGTGCAGACCACCATGAACTGGACTTGAACCCAACATGAACCCATCCAGGTTCCCCAGGCAAACAGCATGTCAGCAAGATGTGTCCTCAATGTCCTGATCTAAAGGATTCTGAAAACAGCTAGAGAAGGTGTTGAGAAACAAAACTGAAGGAGGGTGAACAGGGAACAGATCTCATACCGGAGGGCACTGGAGTCAGAGAACGAAACCATCTCTTCCTTGTCTCTGTGGGCTGCGCTACCTTAGCAACAGCTTCGTATTTAGAGGTATCCAGCCCAATTCAGATCTTCATGAAGGCTGTTCTGCTTGTGTTGAAGCAAAACGACTGCTAGCCCTACAACACTTGCTGATTGCTGGTGTCGGACCACGCAGCATCGTGTCACCAACTCGTTTGCTTCCTCTCCCAAGGTGCAGAACGAGGGATGCGGCCGCCTGTCGTCATCCCACTTGATCACCAGCACCCAACCATGACTGCAGAAAGGACTAGAGACCTGCTGGACAGCACCTACAGGCACCCTTTAGAAATATACTGCTAACACCGCTGCTGTTCAGTTGTCAAGTTTTCTGCATCACTTCAACTGCCTGCCAAGAAGAAAAACCAATTGCTTGCTTTTGTAGGCGGTTCTGCCACAAACCTGCGACACTTGCAAAAAAAACCACCAAGCAGCTGTGACAAAGTTAGCCAACCAATGTCACGTAATATAACCTGAAATTGCACAGTTGGAATGGCTATTTTTGACCCATTAACGTAGTTTCCCAGGTAAAATGAAGAACTGTCACTTCCACACTCACTTCATCACCACAGCTAAAACTCTGTGGGGGGAAGAGAACAGGGTCATCACGTTGGTTGACCAAAAAGAAGACATTGCATGGCCTTGTGTCAGCTCTGTCGAGCTGGTGGCTGGAG